CTGGTTTTGGCCCGGGAGCACGCAAATAAAAGCCATTAAACATCCTCATTCCGATAATGAATTTCGTATTGATAAAGCTCGTGAATTAGGATGCGTTAAGAAAGCGTTAAAAGCATACTTAAATCGATGCATATTTATGTGCCAGTCAAATACGGAATATTGGAGCCGCGAGAAAACAAAATATCTTATAAGAACAATAATAAACACGAGAAATTTAAGTGAATATTAAGTTTCTTTCAAATTGTCGCGAGCAACTTATGTATAAAAACATGGATTGCCATTCGTTCGATTACCTGTTCGCTTGATTGTACTGTGTCTGATTGTTATTGGCAATATTGTGCGAGGGAACAGTATTTGGCACTTGATATTGCTGTTGTCCGTCCAACTGAATCGGTATTATGTGAGTTCCTCCTTGTGCTTGCTGATACCCGCTTTGTCCAACTGGATTTCCCCAACGGGACTGATGATGAGGAGCCGAATTCATTAATTGATGATGTCCGGGTTCGTTCATGGCGCTGAACACCGATGGCCTGTCCTCGATCTGAAATTGGACTAGCGATTAATCGCGGAAGGAGTACTGCACGTGCATTACAGGTGAAACGAATTGTGGACGAATAGAAAGAGCGATTCTCTTGAAAATTTGGGTAACAATTTTGCAATTCGATAAAACATATATGACACGATAAAAGCCGTGTTATAATTTACTTGTAAATGGCAATTTAATGATAAAAGAGCCCGGATTATAAAATCTGATTAAGCATTCGATTTAAAACCCGTCTCTAAAAATTTAAAAATTCAATCAATTATACTGGACATGCATAAAACTGTCTATTATACGTCGCGGCAAAAAATTTGATCACTCTAGCAGGAGAGCGTAGCTTACGAATCCCCAATGCACGGTATTATGATAAAATTCTACCTCCTATGCGTAAGAGTTTAAATAATAAACTTTAAATAATAAATAGGCTTGTTAATAGGCATGTGCGAGCCGTAGGAATAATTTGAGGAAACTTACTCGAATGGGTATGATACGCTCGCTATCCTGGCGCACCGGTCGCATTGGCTGCTGCTGTTGCTGATACTGCTGTGGCGATTGCTGTTGGTACTGTTGCTGATACTGCTGTGGCGATTGCTGTTGGTACTGTTGCTGATACTGCTGTGGCGATTGCTGTTGGTACTGTTGCTGTTGCTGTCTCGGTAGATTGACGATTTGCCGGGGTGAGCTTGAAAACTCGTGGAGTAAGGGGCTGCTCGGATCGGGGAATGGCCCGTCCTGACCGGGACTCCCACCCGTCCTCTTTGCCCATTCTGGGAGCTCCTCCGACTGCTTCGCTTGCTTTTGCATCCAGGGCGTCGGGGCTTTCGACAATGTCACCTGCGTCGGCGACATCGGCGGTGTTAAGGTATCCGGTGAACTATTGGCTACTGGTTGAATCTTCGTCTCGACTTTAACAACTGGCCTCGGTACGGGATCCGCTTGCCTTTCTATAACGGGAACGATGATTCCTCCTCCTAATATAAAATGTAGAATCCAAACATATGCTTGCGAATAAAACAAAAACAAAAAAAAATTGTATTTCGAAATATCACTGGATACAGCTGTTTTATCTTTGGCACGAACACATTGTCGAAGAATGCCGTATAGGAAATGCTGTGGCGAGAAATATGAGAACTTGATGGGCAATCATTCGTACTCTTACCCTCTCTTACATTTATTTATTTTGTTACTTTTTTTTTCATCTTTTTTTCGTTTTGCTTTTTTGTTTTTATTTCCAAATGTAATTAAAGTGATTTATATGGATAATTTAAGCCACTTGGTGTTGAGATAAGACATTTTAAATATCACGAGATTTCTCCCCACTCTTTTTACCTCAAATTTCTTAATTATTTATTGAAATTTGCAAGAGATCGGATCGGGCGCAATTTAATTATAGAGAGTTTTTACAAATATGCTACGGAAAAATTCAGGCTATTGATAAAACTTTGGTTTTGTTTTTCAGTTTCATTGAAGAAATTTAGTGGTAAAGCACTGCATGATTTCACACCGAATTTTTATATAATATTTCTTTTCGTATTTAATATCGAAATATCCTCTAACCTTTAAAATAATATTATATGTTTTGTACAATAAGCTGTAAGCTTGGCGTAATAAATAGTTTTACATTTCAGAAATAAACTCGACAGAGCTGCTCAACTAAATGCTTGCTTAGTGAACTGCGTGACTTTCTCACAAATCAATATTAGCATAACTCTCGTAAAAAATTGCAAGTGACCTTACGTCAACACAAATCTGCCGCTCATAATTTTTCGCTCTTTTCATCGCCTAATTATCAATGATTCCAGTTCTCGACCAAGCTAGCAAAGCCATTTATATAATTATATAGAGGCCGGCAACAAACTAACCAACAAATATCCAGTATCAATAGGATTCAATCCAGAATCAATAATTCCAAAAGAAAGTAGTGTAGCAAATATACCGGGGAGGGAGCGTGGGAGTGTACTGTTCTTGAGATTAATGGGCGGCTGCTGTGGTATTCCCTGCGGAAAGACCGGCACGGCAACCTGGGGCTGCGCATATATGCCGGTAGACTGGTGTTGCTGATGCGGAGTCTGCGCGAGAGCGGACTTTGGTGGACCCTCGATGCCCTCATCGTTGGCGTTCTTGGCGACTCGCCGTGCCATCCGCGGACTACGGATCTGCGAGAGATCGAGCTTACCTCCCATGCCCGGCGTATACGTGAATGGCTTCTTATCCTTCGTCATCATCGCGTTCTGAATGGCTGCCGGCGGCTCGTATGGATCCTGCGGACCAAGCTGCGATTTCCTCGGACCTACCTGCAACCATGGAAAAACGCCTCAAGGTCGAGTGCTACTCAAAATTCACGCTTGTCATACTCGCGGCAGCGTCTTAGCCATAGATTTCACATAATGCAGATTATTAGTAAGATCCGATAAAAGTTGTTGGTAATGCGTTGCCGGAACGTTTACAATAATTGCGTTTCAATTTCGTAATATACGATTGGATAAAACATAAAAGACGAATAATAATTTAAAGTAGAGTTAATTTTACAATACTTTCAAATGAGTTAAGAACGGTGAATTCTACCATAAAGGTTTAATGGCTTTTCTGCTCTTAAAAAAAAAAAAAAAAAGAAATAATAAGCAAATAAATACTGAAAGTGCACGAACGCGTTAAAACAAAATATGTTTACGTAAAACTTGGGTAAACGATGAGGAAAATAACCGCGGGTATATTAAAATTTGTAATGTCGTTTCTGTAATGTCGTTGCGATCCGAAAATATGCACAAAAAGCAGGCACAGCATGCGTGTGCAAACCCGTAAACATGTATTCGCGTATATTTTCAAGCATTATAAAAGACTTTACTTATATAAGTGTAAAAATAAATTTTTTTGAGATTTTATTATTAGAGTATGAATGTGAAATGTATTTTCAAAAATAATTATATTCAAAAAATCATCGAAAATGTGAAGCTTGGGAAGTTTTATTAAAAGATCTTTTTACAAAAGTCATTTTTATTAATATATTTTTATATCTTACACATGATCTTTAAAAATATCTGCATACATGTACTGTTAAATTATGATGGGAGCATAACAGTTGAACACTTTGAGCTTTCGTTGAAAAATCGCTCGTAAAATAATTTAGTTACTCTATCCTAATAGGCAAATAAATTATATTGCACCAAGCAAATAAATAAAATAAACCAATAAAGCTGCGAGATTGCGACGATCACCGTGATTGTCATGAGGTTGCGCATGGTAAAATATCACTAAAAATTAATATATTCGAACGAACTGACAAACTATTATTAATGAAACAATGCAGTTTGAATTTGAATTAACGTAAATGTATGGATATGGGCGAATTGCGGCCGATGCATGTACACTTAAAACTCAAATGTAAGCGACAATCGTCTTGTCACTGTGAACGATTTTGCAATTTTTGCATGCTCTCTGATTAAAAAAACCAAAAGCTATAACAAACATCTGGACGCTTTGTACCCCACACTTACTTCTGACGCAGTGTTAATCCTGAGGGCTGGCACTTGTCCAGGTACCGGTGGCGGAGGCGGCGGAGGCGGCCCTAAAGAATATTCCAAAGTTACATCGCTTCAGTCTTGGTCTTATTTTGTGGTGCAATGTCATCATCGTGTAATGGGAAAGTAACCTAGCGCTATATATATATATATATATATATATATATAAATACACGTAAACGCAAATGTATCACTAGTATGCTCGTCGTCTCGGTCGCATTTTGTAACCTTGATTAATCACGATACTCGTAAGTAGGTCGTAAGTAAGTATAGCCGTGAATTACCGTTTATATGAGAGAGTAACAGAGAGAGAGAGAGAGAGAGAGAGAGAGAGAGAGAGAGAGAGAGAGAGAGAGAGAAAGGAGAGACGAGAGATACCAGAGCTGCGACCTTTACACAGCGTATTCGGCCTCTCCTCGATTCTTTTTTTATCTCTACTAATTATTTTATCCGCGTTGCTTCCGGAAAACCAGGGCTATTTCGCGCGCTTTCAGCGGCGTTGGACTCGAGGGAACATAAGACGCAACAGGATTTTCAAAAAAGCGATTCTACAGGAACGAGATGGTCATAGACCCGTTGCATAACCGTTGTATTATGTATTTTTGTTGTCTATTTTCGTTTGCGTACATTGACTCGAGCACACGTGCGCGCACCTTTTATCATTGCACACTGACGTTCGATAATCCCAAGCGGCCATTGTGAGAAAAAATTTAATTTTGAGGAAAAACCGCATTGTTATGAGCGAACTCATTCAAAACGACCACGAGGATGTTAAGTAAAGCTCGGAAAGGATAATTATTACAGAATATATGTGGCAATACCTGATACCGCACCCGCTGAATATCTGAAACAAAATAAATAATGATAATTAGATATAAATGTAAGCGAAAGTGAAAATTAAATATAAATGTTTTATCCAACAAGCCCAATTTTACAGATGATAGCTCTGTGTTGTCTAAACAAACTACCATTAAATAGAACGAAACATTTCATTTTAATACATTTATGTAATGAAAAATTATAAACATATAAATTATATCAGGACATTGTTTACGAAAGTAACGATTTTATTATCGACGCCTATGACGAATTAAGACGCATTTCTGATAAATTATGAGCGTTACTTTGTCAGTTCTTTTATGCATTTATTAAACAAAACAACCAGTTAAATTTGGCATATTTGTTCGATTAAACGACTTGTTTGACGAGTCTCGTAAATTTCGCTCAATGCCCAAGTTCTACTTACTTAATGTGGAACTATTAAGTAGATAATCACGTGGAATGGTAAGTCGACTCGTCTCGTGCATTAAACACTTTCGACAATGCGGCAAAAGCCGTGGCATTGAGCGAAAAATCTCCAATATTCTATTATTTACATGTTGATTAGGGTGGAGCCGATACAAATCGACCCTCGCATGACGCATCCTACGCATGGGTTTCAGTCCAGACGAAGTCAAGCACAAAAGGAAACAGATAAGGCGGCACAGGAAGAAACGAGGTATCAGGTAATGGTATCAGAAGAGAAAGGTGATGAAAAAAAAAAAAAACAAAACAAAACTTGAAATACCGAGCATACGTCCCTTGCATCATCTCCCATCTCCGCCCGACCGAATAACAAATGCTCGGCCAATGAATCAGAGACTCGGCGCACGCACCAATACTTCACCGATACAAGTATTTCACGGGGCATCAAATGTAACGGCGCGTATTTTTGGCCGCGGCTTTTTTTTCCCCCTGAAAAGCCGGGTAAAGCCTTGAAAAGCCTCTCTTCTCCCCGACTCGCTCGCCCACCACCCCATGCCGTTACTAATTTTAGCCAAATATGAATATCGGTGAGCACTTGACCCCCTAGGCTGTCCGAGCTAAGCCGCGTTTATAACTTACCTTCGCTCTTCGCTCTTCTCGCCTTGTGACGCACTGGCGATTAGACTCTTTACACGTAGTACGAGGAGCTCACATTTCCGATAGTCACGACGCTTTCACGACTTTTCCGGCGGATTTGCGCGTACCGACTGTCTCGCGGCGTAGTCACTCCAGCGGTGCCGTATGCCTTTTAAGGAAGTGGCCTCAACGCCAGGCCACTCGGACAAGGTCCTCAACGATCTCGCGATTCTGCCTCCGAGTCGAGAGAATGAAAAGAGAGAGAGAGAGAGAGACAGCGATTGAAGAATGCTTTTCGGTTGGTAGTGGGGGACAAGAAAGTGGAGAGAGGGATCCTGCCGACGAATCTTGCATGACCGGAGAAGGAGTTTCTTTATTTTCACCGACATTTTCGAGACATAGACACGTGATGAACGCAAAATGTAAAAAATGCTCCTTAGCTACTGAATTTCCACATGCGGCTTTCTGTTGTTTGGGATAGCCTGATAGTGCAGAAAAAACCTTTCTTGTTATTCTCAGAAATACACGTATCAACTTTATCTGATCTGATTTTTTTCAGCTTAAAATACTAATTTACAATGCGCAATTCACTTGCTTTAATTGAAGATAAGAGGACTAATAATGGAATCATTATTGTACATTATCATTCAAAAATCATGGATTTTTTTTACAGTTGAATAAAAAAACAGTACCATTAATTGAAAATTACGGTATTCCTTATTAGTCTGAATTATTCGGATAATAACTAAATACACCAAACCGTGGATAAACGTAATGTCAATATAAATATTTCCTGTAACCAAATAATTAAAATTAGCATATATCTTTCATTTTCATTGTAATTCTATGTCCTTGCTAAAAATAGTAAATTTCACAAGTTTTTCTACGTCATGAGTTATAAAAACTCATGACGTCACCTTTTAAAGATATTTAAGCTACAAAATCGTTCCTAGTTTTTTAAGAGAATAGAAAACAGGAGAACATTTCAAAATAATTAATTAGTTGGAAAATACTATAAATTTGAATTCTTCGGATTGAAAAATTATAAAAGAAACTGTTACTTCTTCTTCAAAGAAATAATATTTCTATTTTCATTTATCTTTAGATTGAAGGCGATGTTGGCATAATGCTTAATGTGTTTATTCAATTTTATAAATATTCTTGTGCGCATATTTAATTGAACAGTATGAAAAAATTTACTCAAAATTTTTACAAATTATTAGCAGCATTATTTTGTATTTCATATTTCTTTGAATAAAGTATAATTGCACTTTAAGCAAAAGACTTACTGTATAAAAAGTAACATATAACATTTATATTTTTATTTTTTTAATTATTTGCACAGTATAATTACATTAAAAATATTATAACGATTTTTTTCAACAAATTAACTATCGCCTAACGGTATTGTGTTAGAAAATAAATTACTTTGAGAGGATAAAAAATCACTTTTTATAATTCGACAGCTACACTTTGAAACTCGTTTTCATCTAATCTTCGCTATTTTTCATTACCCACTGGTACGCATATTTAGAAAAGTAACGAATATAATTAAATGGAAATAAATTATGTAGACCCTAGTGGCCAACTTCCCTTTCTAATAATTTCCTATTATTTTGAATGCTATTATATCTTATAATTACAATTAGTTGAATTACTACGCCTGCGCACATACGTATATACACATCTTCAATTAATAAATGTATATTATAAGATTAATGTTTTTTACTTAGTTACTATAGTAAATTACATTATGCAAATATTTATTTAATTGATTATATCATAATTATTAAATATATTTAAACAAAAAAAAATATTAAAAAAAATAGACAATAAGAATTTCAATTAAACTCTGAAATTATTATGAAATAATTGGACGAAAATTATCATTAAAATAAATCGTAAAATGATGCATTATTCTTATAAAAACAAATAATCAATTACAGATACATTACCGTTAATAATATAGTAAAATAACATAAATCTATCTCATCGAATACAGTATTTAATAGTTATTAAAATAATCATTATGCAAGGAAGAAAAAAAATAGTCCATAGTCAAAAAATTTACAATATTATTTTCTTCTAATACTATACTGCCTATTACAAGTATTACGAATACTTCCTAAATTAAACAAATTTGATACTAAATCATTGTTCTAGGTTACGGTATATTCATGTAAAGCAAAAAAAAAAAAAATTATAAGTATAGCATTCAAAGGTAAATGAAATGTTCTTTAACTTCATAGTTAATTCTGGACTCGATGTTAAAATGAATCTTTTATAAATAGAATGAAATGCATTAAAATAAACTTTGTTTTGAGTATTTTTTTTTATTCTAAATCTTATTGATGCCGTAGCAATGCTAAGAAAGTGATTTCCACCAGAACTATAAAATATCGCCTTCTCAAAACATCTTCATTATAAAGCTCAAGATTTGCATAAGCGACGAGCGTTAAGTACTGCTATGTAAAAAGAAAAAGAAAGAAAATTCGATACGTCAACCTTAACATTGATTGTATTCGTGAATATATAATAATCATTATGCACTTTTGAACAGTAAAAGCTTATTTATGACTATGATCTATTCTACTCGTGTTGCCATAATTTTACTTATATAATTTGTCAGAAACCCTCGAATTGATGAAACCACACCAATCGCGGTTATAAATCAATTTACAGTTTTAAATTTTCACCATTATGTTATTGAGATTTTGATAGGCTTTTCGGCAGTCCATTATAATAGATATTTTAATAATTATATCTAGCATATAATAAGTGAAATTTATTTTAAATGTAACCCAGAATTCATCTTATTCCTATAAAAGTTTCATAAATCATGATTAGCTTGAACGACATAAATTTTCTTTTAAGATATTATTTATCGAGGGTAAATAAGATAATAGTGTTTAAACAAAAATATTATTTATGAGTATTATTTCGACGTAAGACTACTCTTATTTGACAAAATTAATAATCTTTCCAATTTTTAATAAATCTAAAGCCGCACGACCAGTACACCTGTAACATTTGTAATCTAAACTAAATTGTGCGTAGTTCTCATTTGACGCTCGAATATAATTTTTACATGAATAAATATATCGATATTACAAGATTACCAAGTGCTTTAATCGGCTATTTACGAGACGCGATCGAATGCTTCCAAAATCTATCGGCAATACATCAATAAGCTCAACATTGTTATCATACACAATGAATGGAATAACGAATCAAGCGCTAATGATAATAAATTCACGGACTTTAGTAAAACGGTAATGCGGAGAGATTTTTTCAAACAAACAAGCGATGCGTATTGTAAGAATCTAAAATAAGAATAACATTTGACCAGTGCACATGTCTTACTGACACGACCGTTTCTACTTGAACATATCGCCTTCCGATGTTTTTAAGCTCGAGCTCCACTCCTACGTTTCCCAACTTCCCGCACGACCGGCTGAGCCAAATCGTTTATTTTATCTGACGCATATATTTTTACACTCCAACGGAGTAAACGGCAACGTAATCGTGCACATGGAAAAGAGAAAATAAGAAATCGAACGATGCCACTATATTGGCAAGAATGACTTATCGACGCGACCAATCAACCTATCGTGCTTCCTCAATTTCTTCTTCTCTCTCTATCCCCCGCCAACCCAATACACTTGCATTCACACACACCCTATCACTCCCCCTATCCCCCCATCTCAACACCCTCTCTCTCTCTCTCTCTCTATCTATCTATCTATCTCTCTATCT